TATCGGTGCTTTTTGTTATGTAGTTGGTGGTGTTTATATTCCTCCACATTCCATTCCTGGTATTTATAAATCTCACGTAAAATCTATTGAATCTATAACCTGTCAGTTCAAAGACCATATTTATATTATATAGTCCCCCATAGCGCCGTGTATACCTGAAGCATTCGCAACCTATTCATTCTTTCAGTTAAATAATATTCACAATTGTTATGGTTCGATTTTAGATCTCATTTTTTGTAACACCAAGCTCATGTCTGTTGAAAAATCCTTTGAGCCTGCTGTCTCAATTGATCTTTACCACCCAGCTCCTTATATGCCTCTATCTTGTTCTCCTTTGGACCTTAACAGTGAACGTGACCAATCATTTTATAATTTTTTTAAAGCAGATTATCACTCAATTAGTACATTCTTAGAAATATTTGATTGGTCATCTACTTTCAAGCCGCTTGACATTAATTCTGCTGTTAACGCATTTTATGATGCCTTGCATAAAGTGGTTATTGATTTTATCCCTTAATGTAAATATAGTTTTTCTTCATTTCCTCCTTGGTTCACTAAAGAACTTATAAAATTAATCATATTAAAGAAACAAGCACATGCCAGGTTTAAATCTTCATCTAGTGTTTACGACTACAAAAAATTCTCCTTCCTCAGGGCAAAATTAAAATATTTATCCAAAAAGAGTTTTCGTACTTATTTATCTAATGTTGAATCGTCTTTTATTAGTAATCCTAAGAGTTTTTGGAAATTTGTTAAAAAAATAGATCTAATAGTAATATTCCTAGTTCCTTAAAACTCAATGAACACATTGCTTCGTGTGATCATGATTCTGCTGAGTTATTTTCAACTTACTTTTCCTCCATGTACTCTTCTCAAAAGGTTGCTTTAAACGTTGATGAACTTGGTATTTCTTCGTTTGACTTACCGTCCAATGTCACTTTTAGTGTTAATGATGTGTTTGATAAGTTATCTAGTCTGCGTGGCGTTAGGTCTATTGGGCCAGATGGTCTCTCTGGTGATTTTTTATTTCATCTACGCTCTGTTATCAGTTATCCGCTCTGGTTATTATTCAGGCGTTCTCTTGATGAAGGAATTTATCCAGATATTCTAAAATTTAGCTCTGTTATACCTATTTTCAAGTCAGGGGATCCATCTTCTGTCCTGAACTATAGGCCTATCTCCATTCAGTCTCACATCTCTAAAATTATAGAATCTCTATTATTGAATAATATTCGTCGGTCGATCAACCCTATTATTATTGAAAAACAACATGGGTTTCGCCCGGGTCGGTCGACTGTTACCTGTAATTTAGTTTTTAGTAATTTCATTTATAACTCTTTTCAACAACATTCGTAAGTGGATGTCATTTACACGGACTTCCAAAAAGCTTTTGATTCCGTTAATCATGATGTTCTAATTCAGATCCTTATAGCTTCTGGTTTCGGCGAGCCCCTATTGTCGTGGTTTAAATCTTTTTTAGTTGATAGATATCAATGGGTCTTGCTTTTCAATTTTAAATCAACTTTATACTTAGCTTCCTCTGGAGTACCTCAAGGGGGGGGGGCATTTGTCACCAATACTTTTCAATATCTTTATTAACATCATAGGTAGCGCTCTTCATCACTGTCGTTTTCTGTGTTTTTCTGATGATGTCAAACTCTTTATGTAAATTGATTCGAATGATGACTACTTAAAACTGCAAAGTGATATTAATCGATTCGTGGAGTTATTCAACAAACTTAATCTATCTCTAAGCATATCCAAATGCAAGGTCATGACTTTCACCAGATCTCGTACTTCTCTAGTTTTCCCTTACCACCTGCGTGACACTGTAATTTCACGTTGTAAAGATGTTATTATGGATCTTGGTTTTAAATTTACTAGCAATCTTGACCCGAGCCTTCACATTGAAATGATTTGCTGTTCTGCTTTAAGAACATTGGGCTTTGTTATGAGGTTGGCTAAAGACTTTGGCCTTAAATCATCTCTTACGGCTCTCTATTGTACTATTGTACGGCCTATACTTGAGTATGGTGCTGTAATTTGGGACCCACATACAGCTGTAAATACTTGTCAGTTAGAAAGGGTTCAGCGTAGATTTTTCCGGTTTGCTAGCTATTTAATGGGCATTGATTGTCCACCTCATGACTACACGCCTGTTGCCACTAATCTTGGTTTAGTAACTTTAGCCGAGCGCCGATGTTACTTTGGTAATAAATTTTTAAAAGATTTACTGACTGGTGTTATTTATACTCTTTCTTTACTTGCCCTAGTTGCGTTTAAAGTTCCACTGCGTTCCACCCGTTCTAATGCTATGTTTCATATACCCTTTAGTTCCACCAATTACATGCAAAATGAACCTTTAAGACGATTGATGTCGCAAGCCAATACGGACCCCACCTTTAACTTTCTTGTTTTTTAATTTTATACACACTTATAATGTATTTCTATTATTTTTATTTACTATCATCATATAATAATTTTAATATCTTTTCTGCACATATATATTTTAATTATAAAGGACTAAGCCCGTAAATTCTTAATAAATAAATAAATAAATATATATATAACTTGCAATTTAAAAAAATTGTCTTCGGAATAAAAACGTAATTTTTACGGAATGTTTAATGTCAGAATTTCATGATTATTATTAGCATTTTTAAAATTACACAATATTGCTTGAAAAAAGTACGTCATTTATTTTTTTTACCAATAATAAGATAATACTAATAATTATAATACTCGTAAATAATACTATAGAGTCATCGGCTCCTATTTTATTCGAGTCGATCTTTACTTATTTAGGAAAATATGCCATTATTAACAGTAAACCTATGACTGACTACTTCGATATTTTTTTATATGTTTTAGTAATACTAAATGATTTTCTTATAGTTAAGAACTTTTTTTTAATGCAATTTAAAAATAAATGTCAGTGGTGAATAGAAATTGGTACAAAATGTATTACTATAATATAAGAACGTGTGGTAAAACTCAAGAAAACTGAATGACATTGAACTATTGATTATATGAATATATATAATTTGTTTTTATGATATATTATGTACTTGTATAATGAAAAGCATACACGATTTATTTTTAATTTACTGTTTTGTAAATAAAAAATGTGAAATAGCTATGCCTTATTATAATGAAAATAAAAATATTTGTAAAATATTACCATGACTGGCCGAGTGCCAAAATTAAAACTTAAATTATTACTTAACCTAAGTTTGCTGTGTGTAACACATTACAAGTACAGACAATTTCAACACAAGATTTTCGCGAAAAATATTATTTTTGATATTTATTTGTGATTTTAAATCGTTCGCCATTTTCGTTTAAAAAATTAAACTATTTGACTTTGTTTATTTTGATTGGAAAAAGTACTTTTAAAAAATATTTTTTCACTGACCAAATTTATAAAATAATTCTTCGTATATTGAACCAATAAATTTTCTACTTCATCCCAATAAAAAATGAAAAAATCATAAGAACATTTAGGCCAGTTTGTAATACTAAAAATGGTTTTACAATAAATACAATTATTCTTAGAACTTTTAAAATATACTCAAATTACTGGCTGTTTAAATTTAAATTATTTGATCACCTAAAAAAATTAATGTTGCTCGTATATTTCTAAAATGCAATTTGTTTGAAAAATGTTCTATCAGTATTTCTTCAATGATATAAAAACAAGTAAACACTATTATAAAGATTTTTAGTATTTGTATTATTATTTTCAATACAGAATATATCAACAGAAATGATTAACCAAAATTTATATTTTTAAGTTCGTTTTCAAAAAACTTGAATTAATATTTTTATATTAATAAAGTCTTGGAACCAAAGAAATATTTCATTGAGTTAAATTAGTTTTTACCATTCTAATAATGTATAAGTACTCTTGGATTAAACTCTTTAGCACTTTATATACTCAATGTTTAAACTATTTAACATGACAATATATAATACAAAATAATTGTACATGTAGTACGTAAAACATACTCGTAATTAAGATTTTCTATAAATCGAGAAGACTATTGTTTGATATAGCAAATTCTAGCTTACTTAATATTTACCGAGAAACTATAAAATTATGTAAAACAACAAGTTTTATTTATACGAAAAATTGTTAAAATTACATTTTTTTCAATAGTTGTGTGAATTTATTTCAAAATCATTTAATTTTCAACGATTTTTTTTTTTTTAATTTTTGAGCTTTTTGTCTCCGCGACATTCTATTGTTATTTACTCATTATGACATTACGACCCGTAATATAAAGAGAAACTAAACTATATTGTGTTGGAAAAAATCTATATTTTTAGTGCGGTATTTAAACTGGATTAAACGCAATATTGAACATTTTAAAATATTTATTAGTACTAAATATTAATTATACCATGATGATTAGTTTGTTATTTTCAGTCACGCTGTCGAGCCAAAATCATAGTATAATAAGCAATCAGAATAAAAAAAATAAATATATTTTGCTTTATCAGACTAAAACCTCGAATTTAGAGGAACTGTATATTAGAAACAATATGTGTAACCCTTTTGTCTATAACTGCCCTGTGTTTTTAACGATACTTTAGTTTTATGTATCTATTTTTTTTTTTGTTATGCATTGATATCGTTCACAACTACATTATATTTTATAGATTACAAATATTATTTAATTTTTAAAAAAATAAAATTTTAAAATCCTCACATTCGGTTCAAAATCGATTGTTTAAAAATTTGCTAAGCGAGAGGAAACATTAAGGTGATTAAGACTAAACTCATAAAATATTACGAAACACTTAAACGGCACACCTCAGACAAGTAAATAATTGACGGTACTACTTCATGGGCCAGCTGTTGTTCCGATATTTTAAAAAGTTGAGGACCACTAACGATCAATGCCTAGTATTTTTCAACGATAAGCGACACCAGTCAAAGCAAATGTATCTCTTTCGTTTATTTTTTAATTTTAATTTTTTCTGTTTCACCGACACAGGTGTGGACGTGAAACCATCAGACGTGGACGGACTGCCGTACAGCACGCTGCTGTACGGGAACGGGCCCGGCCATACTGCGGAGCACAGGATGGTACCGATGGTGAACGCGACGGACGCGGAGACGCACAACCGGTTGCACAGCGCAGCGGTACCGCGGCAGTGGGCCACGCACGGCGGCGAGGACGTGCCGGTGTACGCGGCCGGGCCTTCGGGCATCACCCAAGCGCTGTTCTCCGGCACGTTCGACCAGTCGTACGTGCCGCACGCCATCGCGTACGTGGCGTGCTTGGCCGAGCACGCCAAACGGTGCCAGGACGCCGACCTGGTGGCCAACCGCAGCGGCCACGGGTTCGCGGCCGTCAAGACAGGCGTGTACGGGATCGGGTCGCAGCAATCGCCGCCGCCGTCGCAGGTAAGTGGTTTTCGCGGGTGGTGCGATGGGAGCGATGATCGGGCACAGTCAACATTATATTACGCGTGCAAATGGCCGTCGTACGTTTGAAACACATTTTGGAGATCGCGATTCATACCCTGGGTCTTGAGAACGCATCGGTTACCGATAATATCATTATCACTGATCTTCCGTTTGTTCCGATGTGTGAAGTTTTCTCGTGATGAATTTAAACCAAAAATCACGTGAAGAATTTATTTTTCACCGATGAGATCACAGATAATCCACGGGTCCACAGAGGTACTATACACATTTTGTTGACGAAAAAGTGGAGAGTACTTGTACTTTTCACAATATAGCTTTGATCCGAATGCGGCTTAACCACATAGATTTACTGAAAATTACAAAACACTTGGTTCTGCTCATCACACTTGGTTGCTGAACAAAAAAATATTATAATTTATAAAAGCTTAACCGATTGAAAATATTAAAATGTTTTAATCGCGAAAATCTTCGATGGGTATAATTAATATTACCATATATGCGATGTCTTTCTTTTCACAACATCATGCGACCCCTGTTAAGTAGTAGTTCTGTCAAATTGTTTTCAATAATTATTTGACAAAAATATTTTAATATAAATTAAATTACTACTTAGTAACGTTATGCAGTCGAAATGATAAAAGTTGAGTTAAAGTTATAAAAGTTGTTTTCAAATAAAATGTCGCCATAAATAAATTGAACAAAGTAGGTATGCAAAGAAATAGTTCGGATTTTATTTTCGTCAGTTAACTCATTGACTGCATGGTTAGTTGATTTAGAAGTATGCTATTCCATTACAAATGTCCATAATTATTATTTTTATTATTATTATTATTATTATTCACATTTTTCCCCTTTTTTTCTGTTGTTTTTGATCTTAGTCACATGAAATGTTATTTTCTCTTGAAAGGTTGATTAATACTATATTCTCGAAAACGTCTGCTCCCGTCGTTTTATTATAAAATGTCAATAATTACATTCCAATGGACGCACTTTATTTTTGGTGATATTGGATAACATGTCTAAAATGTTGTTTAAGCCAACAAAGTTTTCTTCTCAAATCTGAGCCCACAGTATTATAAGCCTTTGGATTAGAGCGGAAACTCCAAAGAAGATTATGCCCAAAAATTATTTTAGATAGTAACTAAAAAGCTAATTGAAGGCTTTATACATTATTATATGTAGCAGGGACCGAAACCTTGATGAAGTGTATAGTTTCAGTTCCGGTTCGGTTCCTAAAAAAAAAAATAAAATTGTTATCCACACAACATCCAATATAAAAATTTCGAATGCTGCGGCTATATGTTTATTTGCATTTTTCTTATCGTGTGGGTACTCGATGATGACCTGAACTTAACCCGAACTAATCGTTCATCTTACAAGTGTAGACAATTTATAAAAAATATGTTAATAGTAACAGTTTAGTTATAATTAGTTCACCAACAGTTCAGAGCTATTCTAAGTTCATCTGCAACAGATTTTACCATTCGCATTACGCTTTCTAAATTGTGTGCTCTTCAATAGAACCACGTCGTCCAGGGTTCTCATCCCAGACGAACTATAGCGCGCGAAGCGATAAGCCGTTCTTGTCACCCAACGAACACATTTCCCGGACCTTTCAAAGGTTAAGTTACCCACATGTGTGATGAACTCCCAGAACATCACCTACTTGACTTCATTTTTGGATCCGGAGTGTTTGATTCGTGTTGGTGGTCGACTGCAACGGTCAATGCTGTCAGAGGATACAAAACATCCGTATTTACTTCAAGGTGTTCGACGTTACTTCACTTCTTATCACGGCGTTTCATCAGTGTTTTTTGCACGCAGGATCGAAGCTTGTCATCGCAATGTTATGGCAGGAGTTCTGGATATTATCGGGGTGAAAGATTATTCTCAATGTCATTTTTAAATGCGTTACGTGTAGCAGACACAAGGAACTAAGTTCGACATCCCGCATAGACATCTTGTCAGATACCCGAGTGCAGTCACTTCGGACATCCTCTAGTGTTAGCACAAATTATGGAGAGCCGTATATGGTGAAGAAGTACAAAAGGCAAAACACTAAAACTGTCAAAATCAATATTAATTTATTTTTCTGTATAACCACAATGTACTTGCATATCGAAGTCGTCTCAGATTAGAAAACCTAAACTTTTCTCACCGTACTAGAACCGGTTATAGAACAACGTGGTGAGCCTGCTCATGTATTTTATGATTGCGAAACAAGCTATGTAGGTGCTACCCGCTATTTGAAACATTTGTTCAGTTCTAACGGTGTCAAAGTCCAAGTTCCGCCCGATACGCCTGTGAATGACACTTCAATCCTCCCATCTTCCTCTCTACTTCAGGTTCTTATGTGAGGCGGGCATCAACAATTTATTTTACATCATGCAATAATTTATGTGATTTTAAGTGCCCAAGTACCCCGTCCTCAATTATGTATTAGTTGTTAAATACATAATACACGCTTTATTGTTTGGTATCTGAATTCATGTTCTTTCCTTTATCAACACCATTATATCTAAATAATACAGTCCACTCAGTTGTTTGTACAGTCAACTCGCGATATAACGAATTTCAAGGGACCGAGCAAAAAGTTCGTTACATCGAAAGTTCGTTACATCGAAATTCATTATATCAAAAGCATAAATCAACAAAATTTGTTTAAACGATATTTAAAAGAAAATTTAAATTTTATTAGATTTTTATAATTACATACCTACATACAATATGAGATTATTATTAAATATTTTATTAGATACATTCATACATTTTTTGTTTGTTACATACATACATATTTATTTTTTAAAAAAATATGATTTTTTTTTTGTGTGTATCCATTTGCGCTTACACGATTAATAGTGTTGTTCAAATTTAGAATATTATAAAATACACTGTCGTCAATATCATGTCTTTGTAAAAAACTTAAGACGGCACGGAGACCTAATTTTGCTTCATTCGAGCTTACGGGGGGCTCTTCGTCATCAGCTTTATTCAAAATCTCATCGTCATTGAGAACTTCACAGACAACTAAACCTTTGTCGATAGCAACAAATTTTTATTTATATTTAATACAATTTACATTTAACAGACGTGTATCATATAAACGATACATGAACATTATCTTATCGCATAAGAATGGCCGAAACAAACTCGTAAAATGTGCTGTATCAATCTCCAAAATTGTAAAAATTCGTTACATTACGTGAATTTTAGCCAAAAAATCTTCGATATATCGAGGGGACCAAAATACATTTGATTTTTCGTTATAGCACGAGGTTTTCAAGGGTCCGACAGTTTTATACGTTATATCGAGATTTTCGTTATATCGAACTTCGTTATAATGCGAGTTGACTGTATATTTCGAAAACCACCGTCCACCATCCTATACATATCAAAGGTTGATTTCTCCCGTCTATATGTATAGCTGGGTATCGCCTGTTATATATATAATATATTTATGATAATATAATTTATCGATTCTCAAATGCTTAAGTATGGAAGTATATTTCAAATCTTAATGGCAGTATTACACTACCTCCTGAAAATATATAAATTGCGTCTTATCGAAAGACATAAGTGTGTATGTCCTGTCACATTATACGAATCTGTAATCGGCATTTTCAAAGTGACGAGAGTTACATGCGACAATTTCATAATAAATGCATATATGCATAAGTTACGAACGGATTGGAAAATAATTCATCAAATATTGTTGAATTGCCTAATACAATAGTTATTCTATTAAATTATACTAATATGACTGTTTTAAGTAGGTAGTAAAACAAATTTCAACCCGTTCAACGAATTAAAATATTGGCTTAAATATTTTATTATAAGCACGTATATTTCTGCCGACAAAATTCCTTTTTAGGTTGGTCAAAAAGATCTTTAAAACAAAGTAATAATAATTTGGTTATTGCGTAAATGTAACAAAGATTTTAAAATATCACATTTTTTTCTAGTTTTCCATTAATAAAATATAGATTTTTAGGTTTTTAGTGGCTATATAGTAGGATCTGCGCTGGATTATATGATCATCTTATCCATGTAGTCCACTACTAAGATATTAGGTATCGTCGGTTTTGCAGATGAATAAATATTGTACATAATTGGGGAGAAGATTCCATCTTAAGGAACATCTGTTTATATCAGAGTCAGCAAAAACGTAATGGACATGGAAGTTACGATCTGTAAGAAATGATTTCAGTATAATATACTATATATTATATAGTATGTTGGTTGAAGGAATTTTTTAAATTTATATAGTCAACCTTAAAAAAAATAATTGAAATACATATATATGTGTATAATTATAGTTATTAGTTTTCTCGTACACTTTTAAATTAAATATAAACACTTAAAAGTCTAATCAACAATAATATTATTACAATTTAATGCGCTAAAACTACATTATAGTACAGTAGACTCTTAGTAATCCAGTCGTTCGATAATCTAGTACGTTCAGTAATCCGACAGTATTTTGTCTTAAAATGTTGTATTATAAGTATAATTTGAAACAAATAACAAAAATAAATTGATAATTTTTTTCCAAACCTGTACCGTCACAAGATTATTTCACAGTATGTCATAAGTTATTATGTATGTATGTATGTGTGTATGTATGTATTATATATAAGTTTTAATAAAATTAATTAAAGTTATTTAATAAGTAAAAATGGGTTTTATGTGAAAATCTATTAATCCGGAATTTTAATTAATCCAACAGTCCTTTGGTTGGACTATTAGGAGTCTATTGTATTTCCTTCTTCAGATATATTCAATGGTATACTGAGGTTTCTTCTATTATTCTCAATATACTAATCGGTGTTGGTGAGTTACGGCCCAACCCCTAAATTAAGTACAAGATTCGGCCCATATTTATTAAACAGACGTATGAGTTGCGGCCACATTTTATTTATCATTTCATATCAGCCTATCAACGTTACTTAGAAGACACCATGAAGAAGTTGGCTGAG